TTCAAACTGACTCCTTACGACGTGGTTCATTGTCCCCCCCCTTCCCATTTCTCCGCGACACATAGCGATCTCTCTTCATCAAATGCTTTCTTTTTATCCTCGTCAAACATTTACCGGTTCATGTCGTTGCTGTGACGGTTGATGACAGCACGGCAATGTCCGGTGATCAACCATCAACATTTCTTCTCATTGTTTCTTAATCTCCCATAACAACTATTGATTTTTTGACCGATTTTTAGGCGTTTTTATATTTATGTGCGTTGGTTGTATTTTACAAATTTAATTTTTTTTTTTTGTACATTTATTAGAGAATTGAACTAATGACATATGGTGCAATTAACTGATTAAAATTGACTGAAATATAAGAATTAGCTGTTATTGGTTGAGCAACAGATGGTGAAACAATAAGAATGATACATCTAATTTCTCAGCAATATGTGTTTTGTTTGTTTATTGTTTGATTTTTGAGCTAAAGAAAAAAGCATCTTTAGCTATCTATGTGTGATGAAGTTTACTTAATCCTAACAGAGTAACGTTGAAAAGATACTTTCTTAGTGAGATGAAATTAAGCATTGAAGAATAAAACCAAAAAAGATATAAAATAAGTTTAGCATCAGAGATTCACCCTTCTCTATCATTTGAACATTAAAATTTGATCATTTAATACCATTTGGAATAATTTTTTTCCTTGTAATAATTGACAGAATGCTAATAGCGATGCATTCTCGAACTTTTCTCTCGAAGATTGTTTTTCTGTCAGTTTCGATAGCACTAACAATAACACATAAATTAAGGACATCTCCTTCCTTTCATAATCTTTCAGAATTTATAGTAATTGAAATCACTGCACAATGAATTACAGCTGTTTTGTGTAATAGCTAAAGCCATTTCTGATACTTTTTTCATTTGTAATATCTTACTTAAAAGTTTTTCCTATCATTCTTATTCGTATTTTCTATTCCAATATTTGATGAGGTTCAGAATAGGTAAATTTTCAAAAATTTCATCGTTCTTCAGTTTCATCTAGAATGCTTAAGAATTGATAAAATGGATGAAATAGGATGTCAGAAATGAAATTAACTAATTAATAATGAATGCTATTTATATTTAATAAATCAAAGTCACAACATTTCATTATTAACAATAGAATTATGTTGTTGTCTAGGCTGCTAGTAAACAATTAAGACTGAAAACATAGTTTCAGGACAATGAATGCTATATTAATCATTGTAATACCAGCACTATTCTCAGAGCGCTCACATTTTAGTATTGTATATTCGCTTCAATCGGCGCTATTATTCATCTATGAGCGCAATATAATCTTGAAACTCGTCGTAGATTTTACAGATGTTGAGGTGTACCCTCACGCATTTCATATTGGCAATGCTGTATGTTAAAACATTAGCTCAATCAGCATTATCGCGTGCTTGGGAAGAAACTTTCCCTGGGCATGTGCCATTCTGGGAAAAATACACCACGGGACCGCATGGTGTTGTCATTCGTGGGTGGCAATTTAGTCGATGTGCAAGTGAACAGGTGAAGAAGTATTTCATTGACATCGCTAATATTTGTCTTAAAAATTTCTCTTATGAGTTCCTATGCTAGTAAAAATAATTTAATGTGAACTGTATGTGTTCTTTTATCTAAGATATGAAACCAAGAGAAGTCGATCAGTAAGTGTGTTTAACCTTTACTGATACGATGACGGGTAAGGTTGTGAAATTTTTAGGTTAGTCTTTTGACGAAATAATTGTTATGGATACCTGTCAATGCTACTTTACCTTACTTAAAACCTGTTTGAGAGCGGATGCAAAAGACACATTCATAAATGAATGAATGATGTCATTCTAAGAAACATAAATTTGCAGTGGACAAACTATGTAGTGAATGTTTCAAATATTGTCGTATGGCCAGATTATCCACGTTTCCCGGGACCTATATTTTTCAATGTTACAATGGATGTAAGCGAAGAATTACCGCAGGATAAGATCGAGATGGATGTCGAGGTACCGCTCCTTGCCTGTGCCATAACTATTGAAAGTGTCCAATTTTATGGCTCTTTGAAATTGACCATTCTTTAGATTAAGTTTTGCTAAATGTTAATTCTGAGATACAAGTTAATGTACTTTCTTAAAAAACTATTGAGGTAAGGCATGCAGTAACGAATAAACAAGGATCAAAGGGCTGGCAGGTAATTCCATGCCAAGGTTGGAATTTCATCGACGGTTGCGATGGAGTTGGTTCTTGGTATGTTTACTGATTGCTTATGATTTGATGGAATTGAAATTGACTTTACAAATGAATGAATGAATTCCTTGGGTTTAGACAAAACAAACTTACTTCTTAAGTTCAATCCATCTTTCATTGCATAATCTGCGCAGCATGCATGCAAAGTATTTGCAGTCGCTATTGCGATATGTTGGACAAATGTCATGAAACGGTGAAAGCAGCGGATAAATATATAACTGATCGGAAGGCGCATGAATTCATCCGACAAAATAAGTTGTGTCCTCCGCCGAAAGGACATTGGACGATGACATTTAGCAAAGTGTTCACAACTGAAGATTTACCTAAAAGTTTCTTTGGACCATTGCAATCGGTGCCACTTTCAAGTATCTAGAACTTTTTTGAAATATTTTTAAACTAGTAACAGTATCAATATTCAGTGTTGCAAAAATTAAGCATATTAACAGAATTCAATTAATCTTACTTTTTACTTCAGCAATTCTATAACTATTTCACATTTCAAGTAGTTTTGGTTTGTTGCTAAAATTTAATAATCATTAATTTAAAAAGTACTGTTTAGAACGAGTACTGGCTAACGTTTTCATTTTCGGATGGCAAAGATAAGAAACTTGGATGTGCACGTCTTTGGATCGATGTATGCAAATATCATTTACAGGTAAGTAACAACTTTTATGATACTTAATAATCAAAGTTATTGTTAATAAGTGATAACACGAGACACATAGCTTATCATCTGGCCAAAAAATAGGTGCCAATTAGAATGAATGATGTGTTAATCACTCATTTTTATTACGATTTTGAGATAAAACACAAAAATTTGTTAAGGATAAGCAGCAGAAATGTTTACGAGATCCAAATGCATTCAAGAATTTTATCAACGATATCAGTAGCCAAGTGACACAGATCAGACAACGGACCAGTTCATCCTGAGAATCATACGGGAAAAAAGAAATGTTTTTTTTAAGGCCAATTCAATTAACTGCTGTGCCACCTTATCGGCGCCAATGTACAATTCACCAGGAATGCGTTCGCTGAGTGTTGTACTACTGCTACTACTACCCTTTGCCAATAAATTTCATCAACATCGTGAATTCTCGACTGTACATCTCTCAAATGTTAATAAAAAACTCGGTGAAATAATTATGGATTCTGATAATTACATGTCACATAATAATGTATAGGAAATATCGATTCAAGTGGGAAAGTATCAATGATTAATGGGGAATATCGACGATGATATTATAGAGCCTTGTGGTCGTTAAATTATTTATGTTTTATTGGTACTAAAATTAATTCTGTTCATTTAACCCGAATGAACATTTCTTTCACTTCAAAATTTTCTCCAATTATTTTGTTAGCAAAACGAGCATTCGGACCTACATTTTACCAGTAAGAAATAATTTTGTTTAACTGATGCTTTGAGCTTTGATTAACTCTTGGAAAGTATTCTCTTCGTCTCTGTGTACAGAGAGTTGTTCAGGTGATTGCAGAATAGTAATCAATTAGCTAAAGGTAAGATGAATACCGCGGTAAATTACTTGAAGCATTGATTTAATCAACGTCCAAATAGTAAATTAATGTTTGCCACTGCAAGCATTACGGTCATCTATTTGCTGAATGTACTTACCTTGGAGTAATTGGACTCGTCGGGATTCATTAGGCTCTAATTAATTGTTGGCCATCAGCTAAGAACCCCAGTCATCCTTTGACGTCATTTATGATCCACTACGGTTGTCAACTAATGGGACATTCTGCACTGCAAGTTTTCACCATTTTTAATATTTATTTTTCCTCATATCTTTTCCAATACTTAATAAGTATCATTTGCTGATTATTTTCAACTGCTTGGCTCAACTTGCTGATAGTTATCAGACTCAAATCCTGTTGCAAAGAGAATTACGGATGGGTTTCAGGTTTGCCTGAACTTATGTCACAGGTAGACATCACACCTTGATTGGCTAGAATTTCTGCTCATTTTCAAATTACCTTACCACCATCTATTAAACATTTTATATTTTTTGCTAGCAGAAATCAATGTATTTCTGAATAATAAACCCAAAAGCTACTTTAGTTGCACTCAACTCCAACCCTTTCCCTTTGTAAATTTCTTTGCTACCACAAAACTGCATATGGCCATGTCGGCAGTTCCGGCCAAGTACATTGCGATGCTGTAAAGTGCCTCGATCAATAAGTTAGAGCCACAAACCTCTTTCTTGTCTAGCCTTATTCCTTCATTCCAAGATAAACAATAATGAATTGATAACACATATTTATTCCAAACATGTCGCAATATGAAGCATTCAACAGCACTCAACTATTTCTGATGCAGAAATTTTAATTCATTTCTTAAATACAAATTTAGATATTCGTGGATGGTACTCTTCGAATGATCACCGAAGTGCAGCATCGATGATCAATTATTATAGCTGCAACAATTCAATCCTTAATCATCAAATTATTCATCAGCTTATAATTCATGCAACAAAATGAGATAGCACAGTCAAGAATTAAAATGTAAAACAGTGAAGTTTAAAAATAGAAAAAACACAATTATTTTTACGCCAATACTTGTGCGATAAGATCACATGAACAATATACAAATATATAATTCAAAATTGAGCGCAAAGCTCGCTGATCTGTAGAATATATATATATATATATATATATATATATTTATTTATTTAAAAAAAATTAAAAATTAAAGAGATAACTTCGCAAGCAGATCAATAAATGATATAATCTATTTCAGAGGGCTAACGATTAACAAGTTGAGCCAAACAATCAAAGATAATAGTTGATTTCGGATAGTCATTATCTACTAAAGTCACCAGACAATATTCATTATAAATTTTTTCTAGTAAACAACGACTTGATGTTCCTTCAGCATATATGGATGACCTAAATTAACAAATATTTTACTTCAATGAAAATGTGAATTTAAAGAAACAAGATGACTATTCTTAAAGCAAGAGAAATGTACCAGTTTAACCAGGCGCTAAAGGCCTCATCCTTCCAAACACGAAATGAAAGCGGATCAACTACCGTCGGCTGTGCAATTTCAGAACCTGGAAACACGCCCCAGGTAACAGCAATTGGCATGGTGGTTTCAGTATTTGTCCAGTCAATTGTTGCCTGCAAAATTTATGACACTGTCTTAATTTTTTGAAAAACTATTTCTTTTACTAACATGAATTTGCAAAAACGAAAAGCTTACATCATGATTGACAATGTGACAGTTAAGACGCGAATAAGATGGCAAAAGACTCCATAGAACTTCAGCATTTGCTTGTGATGTGAAGAATTCGAGATAAGCCTGAAAATGTAGATCAAAGATTTAAATGAAATCAAAAAGGAATACAGAGATAAAGCAACAAAAAAAAAAAAAAAAAAAATTCGCTTCGATAGTATAAGCATGTAAAAATAAAGAAGGAAGCAACCTTTTGATAACAGTAGCCACCAGGTTTGCCCCAGCCAACAAACGGATCCGTACTAGGGGCTCCATTAATGGATGGCTGACTATTGATTGTCAAAAATCCATTTGAATTGCACCATAGTAACTGATCCTTTATAAGTGATGTTTCAGCCCGTATACCATCGTGTTGCTCATTCCAAGGCAGTTGACTTACCTGAAATCTGTGTGATTCTAACACAATTGTTGATCAAAATTCGAATCTATCGTTTTGTATCGGGAGATAGCAGTAACTTCTCTTTGTTTTTTGTATCACATTAAATATGAAGTAACAAATCGTAACAGCAATAACAAAGGAAATTTTCAGCTTACTTTCACACCATTTTCATTGATATTTTGTGTGATAAAATTGACAAATACTTTTTGTATGTCAGCAAGCGTTTCTAAACGTTCACCATACATTCGAAGTTGTTCATCTCTGGTTGGTTGTCCTTTCAAATAGAATAAGTAGTAATCTTTGAGATCATTGAACGCTGGCGAACTGCTATTACCCCAACGACCATTTGGAAATTCGTCCCATTCCTGCCAACAGTATCCAATAGTTGTAAATAAATGTAAGCGAAAAAAAAAAAACTGTTTTTTTAAATGAATGACGCGCAAGACAAACTAAATTGATTGACTACAAAAAAAAATAAAAGCATCAAAAGAAGAAAAAAAAAAAAGAATTAGGTGAAATGGAAGTTGAAATGCATCAGTAATATTAAAAAATTTACACGGGTTCTAAAAACATAGGATTTCGGTCGCATTGACCAAAAAATGGGTCGTACATCTTCCTTGCAACGAACAGGATGGCTTTCACCAAATAAACGCCAAGGCAAGGCACGCATAGGTGAACGTGGCCAAAGCCCCAATTGTTGTAAAATTTCCCTCGAAAAATTATATGTCTGCATACAATGAACAAGTATTCTGATTACTACAGACAAACAGCATAAAGTAAGGATGAAAACAAAATTAAAAGCTAAAAAGTGGATATCACACAGTTTATAATCAGAAGAATGAATAGTTTGATGGGATAATAAGAATAATAGTGACAAAGATATAAAGAAGCTACCTTTATTACTGACAGGTGTGGAACTCGTTCTATAAATAACAAGATCTAAAATACAAAAATTACCTTGAAGAAGCTTCTCGATTCAATGTAAACAGATGTACAGATGTAGCACTACCATTTGAAAAAAGTGTTCGACATAAAGTCACAGCATGCCAGATGCCAAAATTACGTACAGCATCGTCATCATTTTTAATTGGTTCCAAACTAGTAAGGATAGAGTCAGGTATAACTAGTTGTGACAATTCTGCGATACGACGTATACTTTCATAACTCTGCAGATAAAAATTAAATCGTTCACCAGTTTGCTGCTTTCTTTTTTCTCAAATAAAAAATCTTCATTAACGAAAAAAAAAAAGTCTCATGCAAGATTTTCAACAAAGGAAAACGAAAAAATATCAGTGAAACCTGAATCGGTAAGATTCCAGGGATGATTGGTACAGTGATACCAATTTCGCGACAATCACGCAAAAAATTTTTGAAAACTTCTCCATCGAAAATTATTTGAGAAATAATAAAATCTGCTCCTGCATCTACTTTCGCTTTCAAATACAAAAGGTCAGCTCGATAACTCGGAGCTTCAGGATGTCCTGCGGGATAGCCTAAAAAATTTCTTTTATTCTAATTAACAAGACGTAAAGTAGTGAATATAATGTTCTAATGCAATATCATAGCTTTTGTTATCATTTCTTTTCCATAATCAGTACGTCATACGAGTTCTTCAAAGGCTTCATACATTACCACAATTAAATGTCGTCTTTGAATAATCAAAGAGCTCTAATGATCACCATGTTACTAGCCTGTTACTGCTGCTACTAATAAAACCATGTAAAGGAATTATATACCAAAAATATACCGGCACATGCTATGGTGAAGTAATCATTATATTCCTCTTTTATCCATCGGATGAGGTCTAAGGCTCGGTATTTATACAAAACTGGATTTTCATCCTGCAATCTGATGATAATTCCACATGTATGCCAAACATATTCAAGAAGAAATATTGTAATTTGTATACAAAAATATCGATAAATTTTCGAATATTTCGTCGATTCCATACTACTAATTAAAAAAATAAACCTGGACAATGAGAAATATTAAAAAACAAAGCCCAGTTTATCAAGGAAAATACAACTTAACTTCAATTGCAAATAATTACAATTTAAAGTTTAAAGAGTGGCAAAATATAATGTGTCTATCTAATTACACGATTTGCGTTTTTTTTTTCTGTGCATAGATTATTCAAAGATCTATTAAAAAAAGCGAAATCTTTAAGCGTAAAGCATGAAAAGAAATGAATAATACAAGTATGGCTTATAGTAGAACGATAAACAAAAATATAATAACTTTTATAAAGAAGAAATGAAGAAAGATAGAAAGTTTTCTTTATTTTATCTGCGGTAATTTGTTTTTAATCAATAGCTATTAAATCAAAAATTCTCAGCAAGCTCACCTGTCGGGGAAGATCACCACGAAGGGCCAAAATATTTTTCAATCCCAATGCTTTACTCTGTTCTAAATGCCTTATTGATTGTTCTTTTGTATACGGACAGCAGGTAATATGCAGCATTGTATCCATGCCACAATAATCTAAACATCCTGCTGCCACTGAGGATGATGATGTTTCACTGCTTATGTTACCTGAAAACTTTGAAAATACGGACAAAGCCATGTAGGACTTTAGCAGCTCGAAAATCAATATAAATGAAGAACCCAATAAAGAACACTGCAAATTAAGCAAAAAAATTTAACATGGTGCAAAATTTAGCAAATAAAGTGTAGTTTTGGAATAAGTAAATTTATATCCCTTTGAGCTTCCGGTTCCAGGAAGAAGTCCTATTTGGGAAAAAATATCTCTATCATTTACTACAACATTTCAACACAAATATTGCAGTGCCTACAAACAATGTAACGAAGCAAGAGCTTAATTAACGAACCAGGATCGGATCCGAAATGCCACGCTATGTCAACAAACATTGGATTTCCTTCACGAAAACGGTCAAGACGTGCGAAAAAATTGGCAACACTGTTTGTTGTCTTCGGCGGAAAAAACTGGAAAAATAATGTTCCGCATAATAAGGCTTCAAATCTTAGCAACACAGAGCAGACGTGACATATTACGACAATGGTAATAATAGTGATGACGGTGTAACGCTTACTTGATGATATCTCAAGGAAAAAATCAAGCTCGAAGTAATAATAACGATAGGATTTAGAAAAGAACTGCAACCAAAGATACTATTTCATATGGTTTAAGAAATTTTAAATTCAATATAGATGCAAAACAAGAAAAATGAAACTTGGACTAAATTCGGAATTTTTTAATTAGAATGGAAATCTAATTTCCTTTAAAAAATAATATCCCATATTTAACAAGTTTAAAATTATATTTTGTTTAAACAATAATAAGATGAAATTAAACACCAGAAAGTATAAGATTTTAAAAAAAAAAAAATCACTTTTTTTTTATGGAAATTAGTAAACATGCATCCATCCAAAAAATGAAAAACTGCACTTACTTCAAGTGAAAAGAATGGTATGCCATTAGCGATTCGCTTCTTAATGCGGTCACGTAGCGGCACGTAGGTACCGTTAGCCACCCAGTCGGTCCTGGATTCGCCCCATTTCTTGCTGCATGATCGTGGAATAACCACACTGGAATAAACTGCAGGTAAAAAAACCCTGCAGATCAAAAAATAAAACCCTATACTTACCTCGAGTGTAAAAAATTGTTAGCCTTTAATGATTCGCTTCTTGATAAGTTCCATTAGCCTGGATACCATCATTTCTTGATGGTCATTATCTGCATACAAATCCACAAAGGAATAAGGACAAACAGAACGGGGAAAAAGGGAAACATGAAAGGACGGGAAATTTCAATAAAAACAATCATATAGTGACTAAGCCTAGAATGAATCTTCATGGAATTTGAAGTCATATTAACATAATGTAGAATGAAACAAAGGACGATTTGAAAGGACCTTCATACTTTATCAGATCTAAAAGTTCAATCAGATTCGCAATCATCTCAGTTCTTTTTGGGAAGACAATAACTCCACTTTCAAATAATAAAAGAAATTACTTAATCAATTATTATTACTTATACAAGTTAATTACTCTTAAGTGTTCCCAGACGAACTGACAACAAACCCATCAGTACTGCTCGTCGGACTCATCTCACCTTCATTGTCATCCCGCACTGCATCCATATTAGCAAACACAATAACCGATTGGCTTACAGTAAATCACCAGAACGAGTACTAGAACAGCTGCGGACCACTAGAAGCGCAGAGGAGCGGGTGCTTTGCCTTTAGGTGAGGGTACGTTACGTACGTATCGATGCTTCAATCTCGACGTGGTTCGTCCCAGGTACGTGCGGGCAAAGCCCGTATTCAAACGGGACTTGCGGGCAATACTCACTGCAGGTTGACTGCAATGTCCTCGCTGCACCCTTCAGCCTTTCAGGATGAGCGATAAGTACTGTCCGTTGCGCTCTCGTGCGAGGACAGAGAATGCCACTGCTTGAAAGGAGGATTACGTCAATCGCTGGTTATAACGAATGAGAATGAGCAGCCCATATGTGAGATCCGATCCGTTGAGACCGACCGACCGACCGACCGACTTCAGTTCTACTTGCAGTCTTTGTCCGTCCGCAATGACTGCTGCTGCTGTCACTGCCGTTGCTGTCTCTCCGCTAACTCTGAAAATTCAATTTTTTTACCATTCTTTTTTTATTTTCAATTCTTATCTCTTTGCTATCTATCTTGGAATGCAATGCGGACATTGTTAAGAAAAAGATGAAATTAATGCTTTTTGATTTGTGTTTGATTAATTTATTCAGCAGACAAAAATGTATTTGGCATCAACTTTATGACTATTGGATGGTTCTGCTGGTGACACTCAGCAAGATCGTTGTGCCTGTGATAGAAAAGCTAGCTTTGGCTATCAGAAACTTTAACTTTTCTTATTTTGATGCAAAATTTTCAAAGTTTCTTTTATGATTATTTCTATAGTTGTTTATATTTGCAGTCATCAGTCCGAAAGGGTCACATCCAAAGAGTAATCGAAAAGTCAGCCCTGATAAATTCCGTATAAATTCTATATAGTTCCCTGAGAAGAAAGAAGACTAAAAAAATTTATGGAATAGTATCAAATGAATCGAACGAAAAATAAAATAAGTTCGTTAAGATTTTTTTTGCATATTATACTATGTCCCTATAAATTTAATTCAATAATACTACCAGGAAGTATTTCATGAGTGACACCAAATTGGGATTATGTAATCGGATGGATCAAAAGTTCAGGAAATTTAATGAACATTGAACAATAGGACGAAAGTATCTAATTGTGGTGGGAAGATCCTGTCGTCGTCATCTTTCCTCTCTTCGCTTTCATCCTATGTCAAATTCGTAATCACTTTTGATCTTTGCACTGAGGCTAAGAGGTCGATGAATCGATGAAACGATTGAGCTTCTCCAAACAATAATGAACCAAACATTTTGACCGCCAGTTTTTGTCCTACTCTCATCATTTTGTTAAACGTTGTCTTTTTTTACAAGAGTCTCTCTCTCTCTCTCTCTCTCTCTCTCCCTCCTCTCTCTCTCTCTCTCTTTATGCAAATTCCCATATGCGAACTGTTTGATAAGTTAGTGCCTTTATGTGAATTTATTTGATGACACAGTACAGGTCATTCTGGTGAAGTAAGACACCTGTAAGTACCAATAAAACTTTTCATCAAAAATTTTTAAAAGATGAAAGAAAAGAATGAAAGAGTAATTAATTTAAAATTATTATATTTTTGCTTATTAAATTTCACAAGTAAAGCTTATTGTTCTGCAAACTTTTTCATATGTTTGCATTTGATTGAAACAACCAAAAGTAGTTTAATCGTTTCGTTTCATTTTATTTTAATGCGCTTCGAAGTTAAACAAACAATGGTTTTCTGTTTCGGGTAACTCATTTTTGACTGAATTTGTTAGGTTCATCGTTAGTAGTAATTAGTCTTTTTCTGTACGATATTATCTTTACAGCAATTTTAATTTTAAAAGATATGCGAAAGTGTAAATTGAATTGTATCTGTTTGATTGATTAATTTCGATGGAAAATGACGACTTCGGGTAAAAGGAGAAGTTATATTCCCAGCACCAAATACTTTGACTTTTATGAAAATGAATCCTAGGCGGGCTGGATAACTGCCAGCTGCATGTGTGACAATCGATAGACACGAGGCGGTTTTGGGCAGATAGTAGTAATGTGAAGTGGACATATCACACCATGTCCACTCATTCTGCCCAATCTATCCCTCCTCACTGTTGTTTGGGGTAATTGAATTCCTATGGAAGTGATGCAAATTCATGGATGGGTTGCATTCATCTGTTTGTTTACCATTATGATTTTCGTAATACTTGTTTGTCACCTCTCTTGTTGGCTTCAAACATGCCCATTTCGCAATGCAACCCGCCCGAGATTATCGTGCTTGTAGAGGCATGGGAGGGGTGTCATAGCGACCAATTGGATTAGGTAAGGTAGCCATGGCGATGACATTTCAGCTACAAGTCTCTCGTATTTTACGTGAATTTTGTGATACCATTTGATTGCTGGAACTAAAGTCGTCCATAGCACTGTGTGACATAAGTTTGAAGAATTAATTTCCAGAATTCTTGCAAAAAGTACTGCTGGTCGATCCCTGGTATCGACCCATTTGAGGTGTGAGGGAATGAGAAGGTCCACAACTGTCCACATACGGGTCATTTTTGTGGGACTGAGTGAGGTCATCCGCTCGCGAGGGCTATTGCATGCAGTCAGTGATCTATGCACCTACATGTCTCTCTCTCGGCGTGTCCATCCCTGCGTCCATCTGAAGTGGACTCCCAGCAACTGCACTGACCGCACTCGCTTCCTAATCCTCCTTCATATACCAATAAAATAGATATAACCACGCTTATCTCATACCGACAACGCAGTTTTGTCCCAGAAGGGTCACACTGTTGTCATATTTTGCTCAAAATGTTTCCAAAATTTGCTGATAGTTTCATACATTTGAGGAAATCTTTGTCTTTCGCTCATTTCGCTATTCGTATAGTCATTGGTAATAGCTCTCTGTTTGAATTTACTTTATTAACATGCTTCTCGAGAAAAAGAAACAAAGGATTATTTGAAAATGCATATATTCTATTCTCTTCTCAAAACATATATCACAAATTTATTCTCTCTCTCTCTCTCTCCCTCTCTCTCTCTAACTTCAAATTGCTTAATGTTGAATTTGAAAAATAAAGATAACGAGCAGGCTTGCGTGACTATTTTCGGAATAGAAACTGATTTTAATTGCAGTGAGTGAATTCGTTAAGTGGCAAAGGTAACTGATACTGGACATTCTTCAATGCATCATCAAATTTTAAATTACATTTTAAATTAGAGTATGTGAGAACTAGTTCAAAATTGTTCAGTCTTTTATCCTTCGTTGTCACTCTCCAGCAACAGCAGCAGCAGGAGCAGCAGGATCTTCATTCGAATTTGGTCCATTTATTGTAAATAGGAAATGAGAAGTGTCAAAATTGTCATAAATGTGTCATCAACTTCAGTACCGTACTGTCATCATTGCCAATAGAACTTATGGCACCTATATGAGCACCAATACCACCAAATGCTACCTGTATTAGCCGTATTTTTTATGTCATACATTTTAAAATTGTTTATAATTGAGAGAAATGGATGTGCGACCACAGTGTGACACCATACTTAGCATTATAATAATGTGTGGGTATCTTCAATGGAAAGGAATCGATAATACCATACCATTGTTGAAAATCTACGTTGCAAATAGGTTCCGATTAATTCTTTAACTTTTCCAAGGGAATTTGCATCTCTCTTTGGTTTCCTTTAATATGGAATGTTAAGACAATGATTCATCGTCGAAATTTATTCTAATCTACTAATAACTCTTTCACACTAAGTAACTTTTCTTCAATTATTTGTTTCTTTGTTGAAACAGTATTTTTTGATATGGTAAGAGTTTGATAATTTGAAGCAGAAATTATTTGTTAGTTGAAGGAATAAACAAAAGTTGTATGCATTTCTCGACAAGACAACAAGAGAAAGCCAAAAAAGTAACTGTCATATTGGCTTCATTGGAATGGATTCGTATTTGTGTTTTTTTTTTCTGTAATCTATAATTAAAACTTTTCTCGAAATCATATTTGAAAGCTAGCAAGCATATTTTACATTTAAATTGATTAGTGTTATGGTCAAAAATGGACAATTGGAATAATTATCAAAGAAATTGCTATTTCTCTTTAAAATAGTGAAATTTCTTTAAAAATAAAAAAGCTGTTTTATTATCGTTTTCATTTGTTCAACAAGTAAATTAAATCAGCAGACGAAGACAATATTTGAATCATCACAGAATGACGAGGAATTTTCTAAGTTTGGCATTTCACTTTTCATTTTTGGAAATATTTTTCATCTTTGAGAAGACGTGCGCCATCTTTGAATGCCAAGAAGAAAGTATTGGAAATGAATGAAATGTTGTGATGCTTCCTTGCATGTATCTCAGCCATACGGTACGTTAGGAAGAGCGGAAGAGTTCGAGGGAATTGCATCTTCCATGGAGAAATAGAATCCGTCCTTATGCGTTTTCATCATTTCTGATTGCGGAATGTTATCTAATGCGTGCACGCACTGCACTTTCCGTCCTTTCAATTACTTTTCATTTGCCTTTAAAGGCTAACTTATCGCTTCATCAATTATTTCTACATCCTTTTCTTTGTACTTCATTTTTAATTCTATTAATTTCTTCAGAAAATGTTTTCATCTGTTAAAAATTGAAAAAAAAAAAAACTGCTTTTTCTTTTTTTTTTTTCATCAAAATTTATGAACACCTCAGCTAAACTATCAACTTCTGCTGTGACAACAACTGGTCTCTGCACCATGGTGTGTACATGCTAAATGTACATTGTCACCAGAATATAAGTGTGCCATTAAATATGCAGTAATGAATACATCCATTCATCACACCTACAATATGGCCTCATTTCGATGTCGTTAAATTTGATGTCACAGTGGAGTGAACTCTCAATTGCACCTTTACTACAACCTTGAAAACACGGTGCAACTTCCTCCTATAAAGAAAGCACCAACCATCATAATAATACAAGTATCCCTTCTGATTCCATGCACAAAGTTGCATCATCCATCTCTTCTCCTAGCTCCCATCTTAACTGCTTTCTTCCATGAGTCATCGCTATTTTATTACAACCACTACCACTACCAGTGCTGTGTACAAATTTAATTCTGAAGTAAGCATATGTAATCAAATCTAGTCAACTAGCATTGATCGACCAGAGGATGTCACTGTACGGAAAAGTTTAGATAAGACAAATCTCAAACTTCTAGAAGGTTTGATTTAGTTATTGTATTGATACGAGAATGGGAGTGGTTGAGTACTTTCGAAACACATTGCAAAACATATGTATTTATACTGTCTTAGATCTTAATGTGCTCGAAAAATCTCCTTTTATCACAAGATGGGACCTAAACAACGGAAAAACGGAACTGTCTCACAGTTATTCACATCTGCACAGTTCCGGTTTTTTTTAATTACATTTAATTCACTACTGTTTGTCATTGAATGTTGTGGTATAATTTCAAGTTTCCTTTTCATCTGAGCAATACCGCAGCACGAACTGTAGGTAAGGTACAAGGTTTATAGTCGAAGGTAATATAATGATTCCTAGCTGATGACAGAGTGGTTGTGATAGCATATGCAAATACTATCTGACCATTAACGCTTACATTTCAATTCTATCATATTTTTGCAAAAGCATAATTTTTTGCATTAATCATTCTTCAAATTTTTTGACAATTAATTTGAGTATAGCCTTTTTGAGACAAATAAGGAATCTTACAAATATAAGATTTTTAACTGTGACTGGAAGTGATCTTCGATTGATTGTATGGATGAAATGATGAAGATAAGATTAAAAAGTGGAGGAAACTTTATCAATATATCAGTAGCACGGAGCTCTATATATATTGCATCAGATTTGTATGGCTAATTTTGATAAAAAAAAAAAGTAAGGGTGATAGTGATGTCCTCATGGAAGCAATGATAAGATGGCTTTATGGATTTAGCAAATGGAAACAATTAGCTCTTGAAGAGATTGGCTAATTATTTCAAACACATTTTCACATCTCTCTGTTTGTTGCTGTCTCCAAAAATTTTCTAAAAGAAATGGAAATTCTCCAATCGATAGCAATAAGGGATGGTAGAGAATACTTACCGGATACTACTGAAATGCATACTCTCAACTAAGACCTCCTCCTCTTACCCTGTTTACGTTTATTTATTTCTGTTGCTTCTACTGTCATCTTTCGAAATTCAATCCGTCGTTAATGACTGAGACAGTCAGAGAGCACCGGAAGAATTTCATTCCAAGATGACCGAGCAATGAATACAGAAGAATGATCCACTGATTTCATCATTTTTAAATCATTTTCAACCAATTCAAAATTCATTTCAGCTTTCACTCATTTCGTTCTTTCCGGTTTTTCGATCGAATTAGCAGCTCAGTGAAAGTTAGTAAAGTAAAGTAATGTTTTTATTAAAATCTTGTTGCAAGTTCTCAATGTAAACTGTCAACTGTGTAACATTGTGGTATTTGCGACATCTAAATTGTAAATTCTGTTAAAAGAAGTTTTCTCTCTGATTAGCTATTATTGCTTTCGGACATTCCGCTTTTGCACTGGATGAATCAAAATGAGATTGATGAGAGATTTCAGAGATTCTTTTGCATCTGCGTTCCATCACAATTATATTTCCCTCTTCTTTTACCTACCTGAAATTTCTGAAGAGAAATGATTTGTGTTGTTCCGAAATTTGCAATCATTTTCAGTGTTGTGGTGGAGTGTAGTGTAATAAATATCTGATGGGTAAGGTGAATTCAGCAGTACTACTTACCTGTACTCTTCCCTTCTAATCTTTCCATCTCTCTTCATTACCGTTCAATCAAAATTCTTTCATAGAAATTTCGAATGTAATAATATTTGGCATAAAATCGTATCGTTATTATGTTATTTCTAATAAGGTTAATAATTTTGAAATGTTCACTTCCATTTCTGATTGCTTTTCATCAAATCATTTTTTTCCCCCTTGTGACATTGGTTTGAAAACAATGTGACATGCATTTCTGTAGGAGAAACACAATTTTGTCGTAGTTTATCAGCTAAACTGCAATCAGCAGATGTAACTGAGAGAGTTAAACTGATCATTATTGTATCAGATAAATGCTTAACATTTAATTAATTTTGCTGAATTATTTATGTGAACATTTGAAAAGATGTGGATTGCTTGTTGTATAAGTTTAATGATTGGATGGGTTTAATGAAAGTTTTCTTTCATTTCTTTAAAGTAATTTAAAGGTATTTTGTGGTCGAGAATGACTGATGAGTCTGTCCTATGAACTTTTGTTTTCCTTGTGCTTCTCTTATTGTAACGAGCAAATTTGTGGGCTCAATAAAAGAAGAGCCTCTCCTCTCTTTGAGCACCTGTTAAGATGGCGCACAACAATACATCAGCGCCCGTCTCTGTTGCTCACCTCACCTCTTCCTGGTGAATCGGTATCATCTAGAAGAGATATGCTAGCCTTCTCTTACCTTCCTTATTCCGTCCTTATCACACGTCACAACATTCAACCAACCATCCCTCTGCTTTTTTATGCAAGCTGAGTTGCAGTGCAAGTGAATTCAACGTGTCGCATTTGAAATGGCAGCAAGCAGCA